ATACCTAAACCTGTGGGACACAATGAAAGCAGTGCTAAGAGGAAAGTTCATAGCACTAAGTGCCTTCAAGAAGAAATTCGAGACAGCTCATTCAAGCAACTTAATGGCTCACTTAAAAACCCTAGAAAAAGAAGAAGCAGACACACCAAAAAGGAGTAGACGGCTGGAAATAATCAAACTCAGGGCTGAAATCAATCAATTAGAAACAAAGAAAACAATTCAAAGAATCAATGAAACCAAGAGCTGGTTCTTTGAGAAAATCAACAAGATCGACAAGCCCTTAGCCAGGCTAACTAAAAGGCAGGGAGATACCACCCAAATCAACAAAATCAGAAATGAAAAGGGGGACATAACTATATTCACTGAGGAAATCCAAACAATCATTAGGACTTACTTCAAAAGTCTATATGCCTCAAAATTTGAAAATCTAAATGAAATGGATAATTTTCTTGACAGATTCCATCTACCAAAATTAAGCCAAGATCAGGTAGAAAGACTGAAGCCCTATATCTCCCAAGGAAATTGAAGCAGTCATTAACAGTCTCCCCTCCAAAAAAAGCCCTGGACCAGATGGCTTCAGCACAGAATTCTACAAGACCTTCAAAGAAGTGCTAACCCCGATTCTCCTCAAACTATTCCACAAAATAGAAACAGAAGGAACACTACCAAACTCATTCTATGAAGCCACAGTCACCTTGATACCTAAACCACACAAAGATCCAACAAAAAAAGAGAACTTCAGACCTATTTCTCTTATGAACATTGATGCAAAAATACTCAATAAAATACTTACAAACCGAATCCAAGAACACATCAAAGATATCATCCACCATGACCAAGTAGGCTTCATCCCAGATATGCAAGGGTGGTTCAACATATGGAAATCCATCAATGTAATCCATCACATAAACAAACTGAAGGAGAAAAACCACATGATCATCTCCTCAAATGCTGAAAAAGCATTTGACAAAGTCCAACACCCATTCATGTTTAAAGTCTTGGAGAGATCAGGAATACAAGGCACATACCTAAAGATAGTAAAGGCAATATACAGCAAGCCTATAGCCAACATCAAACTCAATGGAGAGAAACTTAAATCAATCCCACTGAAATCAGGGACAAGACAAGGCTGCCCACTGTCTCCATATCTCTTCAACATAGTACTTGAAGTCCTAGCCAGAGCAATAAGACAACTAAAGGAGATCAAGGGGATACAAATTGGAAAGGAAGAGGTCAAAGTGTCACTATTTGTAGATGATATGATAGTATACATGAGCGACCCCAAAAATTCAACCAGAGAACTCCTTCAGCTGATAAACACCTTCAGCAAAGTGGCAGGATACAAAATCAACTCAAAAAAATCAGAAGCCCTCCTGTACATCAAAGACAAAAAGGCTGAGAAAGAAATTAGGGAAACAACACCCTTCACAATAGCCACTAATAACATAAAGTACCTTGGTGTGACTCTAACCAAGCAAGTGAAAGACCTGTTTGAGAAAAACTTCAAGTCTCTGAAGAAAGAAATCGAAGAAGATCTCAGAAGATGAAAAGATCTCCCGTGCTCATGGATTGGTAAGATCAACATTGTGAAAATGGCCATCCGGCCAAAAGCAATGTATAGAAACAATGCAATTCCCATCAAAATACCAACTCAATTCTTTACAGACCTTGAAAAAAAGATTCTCAGCTTCATATGGAGAAACAAAAAACCCAGAATCTCCAAAACAATCCTGTACAACAACAGATCATCTGGAGGTATCTCCATCCCCAATCTCAAGCTGTACTACAGGGCAACAGTAATAAAAACTGCATGGTATTGGCATAGAAACAGAAAGGAGGATCAATGGAACCACATAGAAGACCCAGAAATAAACCCACACACCTATAAATACTCGGTATTTGACCAAAGCAGCCAAATCCATTCAATGGAAAAAAGACAGTATATTCAACAAATGGTGCTGGTCCAACTGGATGTCTACATGCAGAAAAATGAAAATAGATCCATATTTATCACCCTGCACAAAACTAAAGTCCAAGTGGATCAAAGACCTCAACATAAAACCAGATACTCTAAATCGGTTAGAAAACAAAGTGGGGAATACCCTTGAACTCATTGGCACAGGAGACAACTTCCTGAACAGAACACCAACAGCACAGGCTCTAAGAGCAACAATCAATAAATGGGACCTCACGAAACTGAAAAGCTTCTGTAAAGCAAAAGAGACAGTCATCAAAACAAAACGACTGCCTATAGATTGGGAAAGAATCTTCACCAACCCTTTATCTGACAGAGAGCTAATATCCAGTACATATAAAGAAATAAAGAAGGAGAAAAGCAACAAACCAAGTAATCCCATTAAAAAATGGGGAACAGAGCTAAACAGAGAATTCTCGAAAGAGGAACATCAAATGGCAGAGAAACACTTAAAGAAATGCTCAACCTCATTAGTCATTAGGGAAATGCAAATCAAAACAATCCTGAGATTTCACCTTACACCCATCAGAATGGCCAAGATGAAAAACTCAAGTGACAACACATGCTGGAGAGGTTGTGGTGAAAGGAGAACCCTCCTTCATTGCTGGTGGGAATGTAAACTGGTACAACCACTTTGGAAGTCAATCTGGCGCTTTCTCAGACAATTAGGAGTAGTGCTACCTCAAGACCCAGCTATACCACTCCTAGGTATATACTCAAAATTTGCTCAAGTACACAACAAGGACATTTGTTCAACCATGTTTGTAGCAGCTTTATTTGTAATAGCCAGAACTTGGAAACAACCCAGATGTCCATCAACGGAGGAATAGATACAGAAATTGTGGTATTTTTACACAATGGAATACTACTCTGCAATCTAAAAGGAGGAAATCATGAAATTTGCAGGCAAATGGTGGGATCTAGATAAGATCATTCTGAGTGAAGTATCCCAGAAGGAGAAAGACAAACTTGGTATATACTCGCTTATATAGACCTACAAGATATGATAAACATAATGAAATCTACACACCTAAAGAAGACAATCAAGAAAGTGGACATGGGTGAAGATGATCAATCCTCATTTAGAAAGACAAATGGGATGTGCATTGAATGTATGACAGGAGTCTACTGCAAAAGGCATCTGAAAGACTCTACCTAGCAGTGTTTCAAAGCAGACACTAAGACTCATAACCAAACCTTGGCAGAGTGCAGGGAATCATATGAAAGAAGGGGAGTTAGTATGATATAGAGAGGATAGGAGCTCTATAAGTACCAACTATATCCGGGCACAGGGTCTTTTCTGAGACTGACACTCAACCAAAGACCATCTATGGATATAACCTAGAACTTCTGCTCGGATGTGGCCCGTGGTAGCTCAGTAACCAAGTAGTTTTCCAAAGTAAGGGGAACAAGAACTATTCCTAACAGGATCTCAAGGGCAGGCTCTTTGACTCCCCTCCCCCCCAGGGGAGGAGCAGTCCTGTTAGGCCACAGAGAGGAACTTTGCAGCTAGCCTTGAAGATACCTGATAAAACAGGGTCAAATGAAAGGGGAGAAGGTCCTCCCCTATCAGTGGACCTGGAAAGGGGCAGGGAGGAGACCAGGGAGGGAGTTGGGGATGGGGAGGGAATGAGGGAGCGGGATACAGCTGGGACACAGAGTTAACAAATTGTAACTAAAAAGAAAAATAAAAATTTTAAAAAAAGAAATAAAAAAAATAAAAAATAATAATAAAAACCCTAGGCTTTCTCCAATATGTACTCTTAGCAACCTTATCAAAGATTAGTTGATTTTACATTTCTTCTGAGCTCTCTATGCTCTTTTATCTACATATCTGCCTACCATTTAGATATTTGACTTTTGTGTATGTATTCCAAAGCATTTAAATTATTATATGATTAGTAAACATGTATGTGTGCTTTCACAATGATCGTGGTAATGAAACAACACAAATGTACTTGAATATATATGAAAGTGAAGAATATTGTGCCACGTAAAATGAGCCAGTCATACACAGAAGTACTTCATCTTTCCATTGACTGTGGTGGTCAAAGCCAGAAGCAGAGAATACAGTGGTGGTTTGCAGGGATTGTGGGAGAATGGAAGAAGAAATGTCTGTAGAAAGAATAGTACAAGAAATATCTTTCAACATAAAAATGGAAGAATATGTCATGAAGATAAATGGACAGGATTCCTTCTATAATGCAAATTTAAGGTCCAGCTATGACATTTCCTTCATTATTTGTCTGTAGAGCTTCAAGGCTGTCAACCATTCAGGAAGGAAGATATGTTTTAAGCACTGCTGAAGAAATAGGACTTACCCCTTTAATGGGATCCTCTGCCTTCCTTCCCAGAATGTCTGTCTTTTACATAGTTACAGCCATGCAGCATGTATTTATATCCAGTGAAATGTCACCTTCCCTTTCCTTATCTCCATCATGTCGCTTTGGGCTTTACTCTTTCTCTCACCTCAGCCTTCTCCCCTCCAGGCCATCTGTCTAGTTGTCTGCACTATGGTTGACCTCCAATGCCAGCTTAACTCAAGTCAGAACCAGGTTTTATTTTTTCTTCTTTAAATTCCTCCTCTGAGCAGTTGATGAGATTTACAATTTGATACCTTAGGGTTTTTCTTTTAAACTTGTCCTTGAGATGGAAAAAGTAGGCATCTCAGAGCATTTCCCTCTGAGTCTCCTCACTGGAGGTTTCACATTCATCCATTTTTTCAGAGTGGGTGCTCATCATAGCTGTCATGTTCTTGTTTCATTGGTATGCTCTCTTTCAGTCCATGAAAACTGAAACACAGCAACACACAAATGACCCTGATCAAGAGGACTGAGAACGTTTTATCCAGACTGGACTTTGAAATGAGAAAAGAAGTAAAATTGGGCTTTTGTTGTGCCATTTCGAAATGAGATGAGTCTGCCTTAAATACAGGAAAGGGCACACATTCTTAAGTAGAGGTCCACACCCTGGCAGAAACTATTTTTTTCCTACACAAAAAGAGAAACAAAAAGAAAAAGACTACCAAGAAAATATCTATTCTAAAACTTGAAATAAGGCACAGGTTAGCCTTCTTCCATCATTGTGTGTAGTTTTTAAGAAATGGCATGTGTTCTTTCAAAGCACAGTCCATGAAAGCATCTCCAATCTTTGATCCATCATAGCTCACTAGGATTAGATAGCGATGATACCCTCAAATCCATCAGCAGAGTTTGCATCAATATGATCGTGCACTGTGGCAACGTGGAAGAGAACAGTGGCACCTGAAATCTGCCCTGCATGTGAAAGAGAAATGTATTTATGTTGTTTAGACTTTTGGTAAGAATAGCTATCATTTCCTGAAATTAAAAGAAACGCTTTAAAGTGCCATTTTCAGAATCAATCATTTATAGATTTATTAATGTTCAGTACCCCATATTCCTCTTCTAAAAGGTTCTACTGTGTGAGCCAATACAATATATACATATAGTCAGGCTTTTCATTCTTTGAAGTTATCTATTTTAAGACTTCTGTCAACACTTTGAGCAAAACCTATACACGTAATGCCATATCTAAATTACTAAATGTTTTTCTAGCTTTCAGGTAAAATGATTCTTCTTACATACATTTGGGAAATGAGTCCAAAATAGGAAAATAATAAAAACATACTTCTAAACTCATATTTGGAAGAGTCAGACCTGTATTTAGGCCAACACAATCTGACTGTAAGATTATAATCTTAGCCTTTGAACTGGGCTGTAGTTATAGAGAAACTTATAAAACTGTTGTCCCAATTACAGTTTTCACAGTGTTTACAAAATATCCTATATGTTGCTACTATTTATATTGTTAGCACAAAATTATTATGATTTGAAAAATATGGATGAGGTGTGGGGACAAAAAAAATCACAAAAGAATTTCTTAGTGTCTAAAGGAACCTAACAAAGAATTTCAGTGAACAAAGACATCTCTGTGATTCTAAGCAATGTTGAGTTTACAAAAATGTGAGGATTCACATTTATTATGTGGATGTGTAGGGTAGCACTTCATTTGCTTCACCCAAAATTTATGGTTTGTGAATGCTGGGCTTGCGGTTCCCATGGGATTAAAACACTATTTCTCTGTAGTAATAGGAAACTTTCCAGAGCTCATAAAATAAAGCACTGTTTCTGGCCCTGAGATTGCTCATAAAATATCTTACATTTGTACACTGTGTTGGTGTAGCTTTCTTTTACCATAATTTCCTAGTGACATGGTTTGTGCCCTTTCTGCCTATAGTTACAAGAATTTGTTTTTTCTTACATTACAGTACTTTCCCCAGGTCCCCAAATATGGCCCTTTCATTTCTTCCTTGCCTTATACATTGAATTTATTCAAGAGGTATTTACCACCTATGCAATATTATTGTGGTATGTATAGATGACTAAGGTCTATATTCTGTATTTGAAGTGATGCTGGAGACATACAGGCCACTAAACAAGTGACTAGAAAGAAAGTGAAATCCATATGAATCACAAGGAAATCTTAGGGAGCAGATCTCAGGTTGATATCCACAAGACTGCTAGATTGAGTTATAAAGGATGCAAAAAGTGAATGAACTATGGAAGGTATGGCTAAACATAATGTTCTAATTAGGGAACAATGTGGTGGTAGAAACCCTTAGCAGAGCCACATAGCCTGTAGACTAAATATATGTCAATAACTAGACAGAATAAGGTCCTGTACTCATCTTGAGTTCTCATATTGCTCATGGCATTAAGAAGCATTCCTTTATCCCCGAGCACTGTGAAATTCTTCTAAGTCACCTTCTGTGAAGGAAGCAGGCAAGAGGATAACTGGCTTTCTTGAGACTCCTGGGAAATCACAGCTAGTTAAATGAGAGCACATAAAATTGAAAGAAAAAAGCAACATCAATTAATTAGGATGGATTGCAAATACTATTCGTCCTTAGGGCCTCATGTATTCTTTTCTTCCAAATTATTCACTTCTGAAAGTAACTGCTACCAGTCATAGGTCATAAATGGAAATATACATTGATTCTGCTGAACAGATGGAGGTATTAAGGGACATTATCCATTTATTCTAATCACCTAGATTTAGGAGGTCATGACATTTAAAATGTGTGATTAAATTATGTTTTCTGGTTATAACTGAACTTAATATTATTAAATATATAGCAACACACACATACACACTATAAAGTGATAATTCTACCTACACAGGTACCTTTTAGCCCCCCTTTAGAACTAGAAGTACCATCAACAAGCATGGCTTCATTCTCTGTCTTGGCTACACCTCTGTGAGGAGCTCTTTAGTTCATCTCTGGTATCAGATTTTGAGAGTCTGATTCTCTAGCCAAATTTCACAGATGAATTAATACAAAGTACAGATCCTATTAATGAAAGAAATTGAGCTCTTGCCCCAGTGCTAGGACCCAGCTTTGTAATATTAATTTTACAAAGGTACTTTGTGAACTTTGAGATTATCTCTGATTACCAAAATATTTAGAGTCTGTTAATAGTTTCAAAACAACCTAACATAATTTAATTAGAAGCAAGAGATAATTTTTTTTTAGGCCACTGCTATTTCTCTTGAAAGGGAAATAAGCAATTTGAATGTGACACTTCCCCATTGCTAGAATAATTGGTGCTGGGCGCGGGGACCTAACTCTTTACCCACCAATAGTAACATTCTACTCAGGCCCACCATCCTTTCAGGAAAAGTGATGCTCCAGGTTGTCAGGAGTTCTCAGATATTGAAAATTTGAGCTGATGTCCAAATGGCTGAAAAGATTTGAGCTTCTTACTTCTTGAAGTCGATCTCATGGAAAAGCTAGTTTGCAGACAAAGTTAACAAAAAGAGAGAAGAAGGAAAGAGGAAAGGAATTTCTGGTCTTGTGGCCTATCAACTCGTTATCTGTGCCTTAAATTTTTGTTTTTCCAAGATGAGTTAAGCTTTCTTTGTACAAAGCCAAGTGCACTCTATCTAATAAAACCATGAGAGTTGTGCAATTAGTTGCTTTGTATTATTTTGTCAGTTGAGATTTTCTCAATTATTTTTCAATATGAATATATTTTATCTCTTCTAAAGAACCTGGATTTTGTCTGGCTGATGGCTCTGGTATCCTTTTTTTAAATTTTAATATTTTTCATTTTTAAATAATTTTATACATTCACTTGTATCCCAGCTGTAGCCCTCCCAATCCTCTCCTCCCTCCCTCATCTCTTTCCTGTCCCCTTCTGAGTCCACTGAGAGGGGGTGTCCTTCTCACTTTCCACCTGGCCTTAGATAATCAGGTATCTTCAGGATGGTTGCAATGTCTTTATCTGTGGCCTAGCAAGGCTGCTCCTCCCTCAGGAGGGAGGGGAAGCTCATGAGTTCATGTCAGAAATAATTCCCGTTCCCCTTACTAGTGAACACACTTGGATACTGAGTTACCATGGGCTATGTCTGAGCAGGGGTTGTAGGTTATATCCATGCATGGTCCTTGGTTAGATAAACAGTCTCATAGAAGACCCCTGTGCTCAGATATTTGGACTTTGTGGAGCTCCCTGTCCCCTCTATGATATACTAATTCCTCCTTCCTTCATATGATTCCCTACACTCTGCTGAAGGTTTGGTTATGGGTCTCAGCATCTTCTTTGATACATTGCTAGATAGAGTCTTTCAGGTGCCTTCTGTGGTAGGCTACTGTTCTGTTACTTGTTTTCTCCTACATCCAATGTCCATCCCCTTTGTCTTTCTAGATGAGGATTGATCATCTTACTCCTGGACCTCTTTCTTGTTTGTCTTCTTTAGGTGTACAGATTTTAGTATGTTTATCCTATCTTATAGATCTATATAAGTGAGGATATACCATGTGTGTCTTTCTCCTTCTGGGATACCTCACTCAGAATGATTTTTTCTAGATCCTACCATTTGCCTGCAAAATTCATGATTTCCTTGATTTTAATTGCTGAGTAGTATTCCATTGTGTAAAAGTAAGACAATTTCTGTATCCATTCCTCAACTGAGGGACATCTGGGTTGTTTCCAGGTTCTGGCTATTACAAATAAAGCTGCTACAAACATGGTTGAACAAATGTCCTTGTTGTGTACTTGAACATCTTTTGGATATATGCCAAAGAGTAGTATAGCTGGATCTTGAGGTATCACTATTCCTAATTGGATGCAGCAGAATGTTGGATCCTGTTTCTTCACCCATTCTGTTAGTCTGTGTCTTTTTATTGGAGACTTGAGTCCATTGATGTTGATAGATAATAGTGACCAGTAAGTGTTAGTTCTTATTATTGTGGAGTTGGTGGTGGTACTGTGATTCATTGCTTGTTTTCTTTTGATTTTTGTTGGGAAATTATCTATAACCTATGTTTTCTTGGGTGTAGTTGTTTTCATTGGATTGGAATTTTCCTTCTAGTATCTTCTCTGTAGGGCTGGTTTGCTGTTCAAATATTGCTTAAATTTACTTTTGTCGTGGAATATTTTGTTTTCTCTATCTATGTTGATTGAATGCTTTGCAGGGTATAGTAGTGTAGGTTGGCATCTGTAGTCCCTTAGAGCCTGCATGATATCTGCCCAGGCCCTTCTGGCTTTTATAGTTTCTGATGAGAAGTCGGTGTGATTCTGATAGGTCTACCTTTATATGTTACTTGGCCTTTTTCCCTTGCTGCTTTTAGTATATTTTCTAAGTTCTGTAGATTAAGTGTTTTGACTATGATGTGGCATGAAGAGTTTCTTTTCTGGTCTAGTCTTTTTGGTGTTCTGTAGGCCTCTTGTATGTTTGTGGATATCTTTTTCTTTAGGTTGGGGAAATTTTCTTCTATGATTTTCTTGAAAATATTTTCTGGACCTTGGAGTCTGGAATACTCTTCTTCATTAATTCCTATTATTCTTAGATTTTGCCTTTTCATGGCATCCTTGATTTCTTGGATGTTTTGTGTTTGGGATTTTTCTGATTTTACTTTTTCTTTGAGAGAAGTATCAATTTCTGTGAGTATATCTTCAGCACCCGAGATTCTCTCTTCTATCTCTTGTACTCTATTAGTGATGCTTACTTTTGTGGTTCCTTCTCTTTTCTCTAAGTTCTCCAGTTCCAGGGTTTTCTCAATTTGTGTTTTCTTTATTGATTCTAATTCTGTTTTTGTGCCTTGCAACATTTCCTTCATCTGTTTGAATGTGGATTCCTGTGTCTCCATGATGGTCTTTATTTTTTTGTCTGTTTCCTCTCTTAATGCCACTACTTCTGCCTCCATTTGTTTGGCTATATTTGCCTGTGTTTCTTTAAGAGCTTTGTTCACTTCGTTTTTGTTTCCATTTGGGAGGCCAAATATTTGATTGATTTATTTGTTTCCTCTTTAACTGTTTGAATCTGTATGGCTATTTCTCTGAGAGATTTGTTGGTTTCCTCTTTATGTGCCTCAAATAACTGGATAATCATAGCTTTAAAATCATTTTCTTGTGTTTCTGGTGAGTTGGAGTATCCATTAATTTTGGGGGTTGCTGGTGAAGCCATGATATCTTGATTTATGTTGGTTGTGTTCTTTTGCCAACCCCTGGACATTTGGTTATCCGTAGTGTTGACTGTTTGTTCCTGGATTCTGCAGATCAGACTGGTCTTTCTCTGGTGTCTGGAGAATTCTTCAGGAAAATGAGGGAGGTCCAGTGGTTTCAGTGTGTGCGTTGGTGATTCAGCTCTACCTGTAGGAGGAAAGTTTGCAGGCGCAGAAGGGCAAATTGAAGGGGTAGCATGTGATTGAGTATGTGCTTATAGGTGTGTCCTAAGGGGCAGGGTGTTGGAGAATGAAGAGGCCGTCAGTGTGTGAGAGGGGTGCCTTACAGGCACTGAAGGTGTTGCAGGTGCTTAAGGGATCGCAAGTGCTGTTGAAGATTGCGGGTGTGTATTGTTTTTGCAGGTCTGCTAGGCTTTGGTGGCTATTCAGCTGGCTATCTGCACTGAGGGGTTGGATGACCCATACAATCAGTGGCTGGGCAGCCCTGTGTAGTCGGTACTGCCACTTGCAGACTTGGGATCTGGGAAAGATTGTACTGCGGATCTGAGTCTCTGTGGCTAGCACTCTTTGGGTGTGCGCTTTGGTGGGGTGGGGTTTCTGGTGGTGCGTGCACTCTAGCAGGGCCCGGTGGTGGTGGTGGGGGGTGTGCTCTGAGATTCCAGAGCTCGGCAAGAGGGCACTAGGCGGGGTGTGGGTTCCTCAGACATGTGCTCTAAGTGGTGGCATTCAGCGGGCAGTTACAGCTCTCTGCTGTGGCTAAGGGGCCTGAAGCCCTGCATCTGCTGTCTTGGGCCCCAGGCACTGAATTTTAAGGATTTGGGATCCAGGAAGGATTGTATTGCAGAATTGAGTCTCTGTGGTTGGCACTCTGTGGTTGGGCCTGCGCTCTGGCACTGGCAGTGGGTGCTTTCCGGTGTGGTGTGGTTTCCGGAGGTGTGTGCGCTCTGGCAGGGTGGGATTTCTGGAGGGACGTGAGCTCCGCTGCGCTCTTTGTGGAGGGATCGCATCCCTCGGGGTGGGGGGCAAGGGACGCTCTGCAGGTCCGCAGGTCCAGAGCTCCGCAAGAGGGCCCTAGGTGAGGCCCGGGGTGCGGGCCCTTCAGACGTGTGTCGTGTGTCTGAAGGTTGTTGTTCAGCGGGCAGTTACAGCCGTCCACTGCGCTAAGAGGCCTGGAGCTCTGTCTCTGCTGTCTTAGTCCCCAGGCTGTGAGCTTTGTGCTCAGCTGCCTGGAGCTGTCCCAGCCTCCCGCGTGGGGACAAGGGAAGCGCCCCACTTCGTTCTCAGAGAAGTCCGAGCCCCATCTAAATGTACAAGCACTTCACGCTTGTGTGGTGTCCCCTCTCCTTTAGAAAGCCCAAAAGTCCAAATTCTAGTTTCGATGGTCTCTCCACTCACCAATTTCTGAGATTCATGTCCTCTGCCTCTCCAATTTGCTGCCATCTTGGAACTGGCTCCGGTATCGTTTGTGCATAAAGACACCATTATTTCATAATATGTGCCAAATGCCTCAATATTATTTTCTCTCTGTTTTTTCAAATAAAAAAAAATTAGCAATGCTTTAAATTACTCAACATTCATTTTTTTCCTAGCAGTTTATTATGAAATTTTATTTTCTTTTATTAATTAAATGGCTTTTCTTTTTACTCATTGCAATAATTGTGGCTGCAATTATGGTAGGATATGTGAAAATTACAATGATTGTAAATCAATACTATTGCCAAAAAACAGTAGAATTAAAGAATTGATATTATTATAACAACTTTATTCAAACTTACTCAAGAATTTTATATGAATAATATACATTGACTTGCCCATCTGTTTAATTGAGGGATGGAATATCCCATTAATAGAATGTAAATTTTTCTAGTACAAGAGAGAATTTCTGAGCAAAGAAGAATCATATGTGAACAAGAATGCCAAAAATTACTAAGAAAAAGAAAAATATTAAACATAATTGACTTAAAGTTAGGCATAAAAAGGTAAAGGCAAGCAAAAGTCATCAAGCTTATTCTGCTTGCTTGTTGCTCTTCTCAAAAGTAAAGGAAAACAATCTATAAATATATGGAGCTCTCATATAGTTATAAAGGTAGAAGTTCATTTTAAATGCTAAGAGACAAAAGAGCTCTTGGACATTTACAAATTATAGTAAAGAAGTGGATGAAGGCAAATACAATGGGAAACCATTACTGCTTCCACTATTCAGTGGAAATTGTGCTTAAGAGAACAAAAAGCACAGAAGGAATTTTGTTTCATTTCAGCCTCTATAATAATGAAAGAAAAAGAAAAAGAAAAACACTTGCCTGGTTGATCAGTTTATATTAAAAAAAAAAGTTTTGTGGCTCTTGACTTTACATATTCACTGTAAACTTTCATAAACAAATAGTCCTTTGATTCGGTGAATAAGCTAATCAGCAACAGCACCAACAAGAGTATTCAATTTCAAAGGCACACAAACTTAGCTTTTAAAGCAAACATCTATAATTACATGAAGAGTCCATTTTCTACAGCATCCAACCTTGCTACCTATCCAGATCATTGAACATCCTTCTCTGGGGTCTACTCCGGTGAGTTTGTGTCATATTTCTCTTTCACACAAGTTCCTCAACCTGCCAGATCTAGCCCAAGTCCTTTCCTATCTGCTTAACCTGTCAGGACCTGATTTTACTCTTTGAAGAATGTCAACAATGTCTTGTAAGATTTTTATAAAGATTCAGAGCCTAGACTCTTTCCCAGTGATTCCTCCATATGCCTGTTAATGACTATTTTTTCTGGTTAGAAGAGCTCTCCTCAAGATACTCCTCTCCTTATCAACGTATACGTAATATTTATAATTATTAAGAACAAAAATTTAAGGGAATTTGGAAAGTAGTATAGGCACTTTGTATTTTAAAGGGAAATGAAACAGGATGATTGAGTCTTCAAATTTAAGCTCTTAACGTTCTACCAAAGAGCTTCAGCAAGAGAGGCTTTTTATTGGTGTTCCTTCAGAATATCTGTGGGTTTTTTTTTTTAAGGCAAATACCAACAGTCTTCTAGATCAGTTCTTTAAAAAATGGTCCTTACTCAACTTATCAAGTAAACTCCCCCCCCGCCAAAAAAAACAAAACAAAAAAAACAAACAGTAATAGCATATATCCAAAAGATGCTCAAGTACACAACAAGGACATTTGCTCAACCATGTTTGTAGCAGCTTTATTCGTAATAGCCAGAACCTGGAAACAACCCAGATGTCCATCAACTGAGGAATGGATACAAAAATTGTGGTAGTTTTACATTTACACAATGGAATACTACTCAGCAATTAAAAACAAGGAAATCATGAATTTTGCAGGTAAATGGTGGGATCTAGAAAAAGTCATCCTGAGTGAGATATCCCAGGAGCAGAAAGACACACATGGTATATACTCACTTATAAGTGGGTCCTAGACCTATAAGATAGGATAAACATACTAAAATCTGTACACCTAAAGAAGATAAACAAGGAGGTCCCGTGGTAAGATGATCAACCCTCACTTAGAAAGACAAATGGGATGGACATTGGAAGTATGAGAAAACAAGTAATAGGACAGGAGCCTACCACAGAGGGCCTCTGAAAGACTCCACCTAGCAGTGTATCAACGCAGATGCTGAGACCCATAACCAAACCTTCGGCAGAGTGCAGGGAATCATATGAAGGAAGAAGGAGTTAGTATGACCTAGAGGGGACAAGAGCCCCACAAGGTCCATATATATCAGGGCACAGGGGTCTTCTCTGAGACTGTTTTTCCAACCAAGGACTGTGCATGGATATAACCTATAACCCCTGTTCAGACATAGCCCATGGTAGTTCAGTATCCAAGTGGGTACCCTAATAAGGGGGACAGGAATTGTTTCTGACATGAACTCAGTGACTGGCTCATTGAGCTTCCCCTCCCCCTCCGAGGGAGGAGCAGCCTTACTAGGCCACAGATAAGGACATTGCAGCCATCCTGAAGATACCTGATAAGCTAGGGTCAGATGGAAGGAGAGGAGAACCTCCCCTATCAGTGGACTTGAAAAGGAGGAGGGAGGAGATGAAGTAGGGAGTGGAGGATGGGGAGGGAAAGGGAGAGGGCTATAGCTGGGATACAAGTGAATGTATCAAAATATTTAAAAATGAAACAAAATATTTTAAAAAAACCACAGATCAAAGTTTGTTGTCTTTGTTGCAGTAAAAACAAGACAAAGCAGAAAAAAATAAAGATGAGCAGAGATTGTACAAGATCACATAGTGAAAAGAGGTAGTTACTTTTTTTTCATTGTTTGCTTTTTTTCCCCCCCTTCATCCCTTTCTTCTGTTTCTGTGTGTGTGTCCCCTTAGGCTGGTGTCTGTCCAGATGTGTGTCTAAGTAAAATGTGAGAGATCAGATCACAACTTTGAGTGTTGTTCTTCAGGAGCCATACACTTTTTTAGTTTTTTAAAGGTAGGCTCTCTCAGTGGCTTGGCCCTTGCAATGGAGGTTAGCCTGGTTTGGCAGCAAATCTCAGCAATCCATTTGTCTCTGCTGTCCTAATGTTGAGACTGCAAGTAGGTTTTCTTGAGCCAAACTTCTTCAAGTGGGTTCTAAGGGTTGAACTCAGGTCCTGTGGTTTGTGTGGTAAGCCCTTTAATAACAGAGCCATCTCTCCAGCTTTCACTTTGTTCTACAGATGGCACCTGGACCAGTACAAACCAAAAAATCTTATTTTTTTTTTCCTAGCTGGTAGAAGATATAAAACGCTGAGGTCAGGGAGGATTAAGGAAGCCGGATGATAGGATTAGAAGCCTTTGATAAAGAACTGGAATAACTTAATAGGAACCAATGACAACTGTAAACTAATCAAGAAAAAAAAAAAAAAAAAAACAAAACATCAAAGGTCCATATTACCAAGAAGAGGTAAGTGGAATGGAAAAAAAAAAAAACACCTTAAAATAATGTTGAGTAAAATGTAGATTGATGAAGTTTTAAGTCAAACACTTACTTGCTTTTGAATCTATGTTTTTTTTTTTTTTTAAGAGCTTGTTAGAGGTGACAAGAGAGTCTGAGAAGATTTTGCTTCCTTCTGTAATAATTATATAATCTCCTAGGAAACAAATAAAAATACACAATATTACTCCATAAATCAGCTAATTACTGTTGGTTTTAGAGATACACTGGTTCAATTCCAGTTGGACCTTTTATGGTTTGCTCAATTTCTGGCTTCCAGGAAACGACAATGTGACATTAACAAGTCATAGGCAACTTTTCTCAAGAACTGTTGGGAAACATGAGTGACTCATTGGGGGAGTAAACAAAAGGATTAAGAAAAGCTACTTCACAACTATAAATGTACACTACAAAACTCGTTCCCACAGAATGTTGTAAAACATTTGGCAAAGAGGAAAAGGAAAAGAAAGAAAACAAAATGGTTTTGAGAAAAGAGCAGAGGAAATCAGTAAAAGAGTATGTTTTCAAACCTAGCTGGAAGTACATCAGTTTTGTTTTTTTGTTTTTTTTTTTTTTTTTTTTTTTTGTTTTTTTTACATCTTTTTTTTTTTTTTTTTTTTTTTTTTTTTTTTTTGTTGGTTTTGCTATACAACCTTCCCTATTTCTTATTTATATACTTTGCATTGAGTGCCAGAGAATATCTGGTAACCATATTGACTTAGTCAAAGTCTGGGGTGCTTACTTTTCAATAGCAATGATTTTTTTTTTCAATCTCTTCAAGGTTGCCTTAGCCTGAAAATTATACCAAAGTCTTTTGTATGTTTGAAGTTTGAGGCTCAACATAGCGGATTCATCTAACACGATAATAAATGTTATATAAATCTGATAATTGTGTGCTTATCTTCTTAATTTTGAAATAACTGAAAATGTGTGTATATATATATGTGTGTGTGTGTGTGTGTGTGTGTGTGTATAGTACAACTAACCAGGGCCCAGAGTGGCTTGTGGAGACTGAAGCATGAGGACTATGGCTCATCCGTAGACTTGAACTAGACCTCCTACACAGATGTAGCAGATAGGTAGCTCAGGGTCCATGTGGTTCCCTAATAAGGGGAGGCTGGTGTGACTCTGACACAGGCTTTGTTGCCTGCTTTTCGATCACTCCTGCCTGGCAGGGTTGCTTCACAGGTCCATAGGGTAAGAGGATGAGCTTAGTCCTGATGTGACGTGATGAGCTAGGGTGGGTGGTGGGGCTCCCTTTTCTGAGAAATATGGGAGGGGGAAGGGGAAAAAGAGAGAGGAGAGGAGGGAGGGAGCCTACAAATGGTATATAAAATAAATAAATAGACTAATTAAAAATAAAGTACAAACAGGTGAGAAAAGCTAGATCTTCCTTATCCCAGAAACTCTCACAACTCTCAGTGCTTTGGCACATTTGTTTCATTGTCTTCTCGATCTCTCTCTGTGCAAGTTTTTGTTTTCTTTTTCCTAAAAGAACATCTTGTAACTTTATATGCTCTACTGTGTACCACAAAAGTAAACAAAACAAAACAAACAAAAGACCCAACCAAACAGAAACCATTATCCACTGTCCACACCTCATTCAGAGGATTCACACCGACAGTACCACTAACCAGATCATGGATCCTGCCTCTCTACCAATACCACTGTAAAGTTGCCATCCAATGAGTCAAGACATGTCCTGCATTAGCAACCAGCTCTCAGCCGGTTCCTGGAAGCTTATCAGCCATTGCTCATATCTCCTCTGTGTGTGTGTCTTAAAGAGAACAGTCGCCCCGTGCTGTGTTAGGATCTTCAACATGTGACTGTCAGTGCTTTCCTACAGCCAGGCACAGGCCACGTGTTCCGGTGTTCCGGGTAATCCTTCAGAGGCACACTATGATAAAGTCACATTCCTGAGGCTATTCAAATTAATCACACGTTAAGACAGTCTCTGGCAGATTTATATACCTTAAATTAATCTTTAGGTGAGTTGCTTGATCAGAAGAGACAGGAATACTGCTGGGAAACTTGGTGAATTCAAGTGTGCTCTTTAAGCCAAACTGTTTTTTTCTCAGAATTATCTAACATTCTCTGTTCTGGTTGCTTTCTTGCTGAAGGCTATTTATTTACTTATTTTCTGTTTTTTTCTTTTTTCATTTTTTATTTATTACAATTTATTTACCTTGTATCCCAGCTGTATCCCCCTCCCTTTTCCCCTTCCAATCCTATCCTTGCTTCCTTTTCTCCTCCCACACCCCTCCCCAAGTCCACTGATAGGAGAGGTCCTCCTCCTCTTCCATCTGACCCTAGCCTATCATGTCTTATCAGGACTGACTTCATTGTCTTCCTTGGTGGCCTGGTAGAGCTGCTTCCCCCTCAGGGGGAGATAACCAAAGAGCAGGCCACTGAGTTTATGTCAGAGACATGTTCCCATTACTAGGGAACCCACTTGGATAATGAGCTGCCATGTGCTACATCTGAGCAGGAGTTCTAGGTTATCTCCATGCATGGTCCTTGGTTAGAGTATCAGTCTCAAAAATGATCCCTGGGTCCAGATTTCTTTGTTTTGTTGCTCTCCTTGTGAAGCTCCTGTCCTCTCCAGGTCTTTCTATCTGGAGGCTATTTTTTTTTTTTTTTTGCCACTTTCAACAGCAGTTTTATTAATATTAAAAAAAAAAAACTTTCCTAGGTAGCCCCTTCTTTTTTCTTTTTTTTTTTTTTTTTTTTTCAAATGGGATGGACATTGGATGTAGGAGAAAACAAGTAACAAGAGAGAGGAGCCTACCACAGAGGGCCTCTGAAAGACTCTACCTAGCAGTGTACCAAAGCAGATACTGAGACTCATAAACAAAACTTCGGCAGAGTTTAGGGAATCATTTGAAAGAAGGGGGAGTTAGTATGACCTGGAGAGGACAGGAGCTCCACAAGGACCAAATATATCTGCACACAGGGGTCTTTTATGAGACTGTTTCTCTAACCAAGGACCATGTGTGGATATAACCTAGAACCTCTGCTCAGATGTAGCCCATGGTAGCTCAGTATCCAAGTTGGTACCCTAGTAAGGGGAACAGGGACTATTTCTGACATGAACTCAATAGGTGGCTCTTTGACCTCTCCCCCGCACCGAAGGAGGAGCAGCCCTCCTAGGCCACAAAGGAGGACTTTGCAGCCAGTCTTGAAGATACCTGATAAACAAGGGTCAAGGAGGTCCTCCCCTATCAGTGGACTTGGAAAAGGGCAAGGAGATGAGGGAGGGATGGTGGGATTGGGAGGGAATGAGGGAGAGGGATGCAGCTGGGATACAAAGTTAATAAACTGTAACTAATATTAAAAAAATAAAAAAATATATTGTTTGTTGAGATCCTACCAACTAGCCTTTAAGTTCATTGATGATTTCCGTTTATGTGGATGACCACACTGATGGTTGCTAAATCATTTATTTCACAATTTTTTATAGTTATTAGCTGTCCTATTCTAAAGATATTTTTCTTCTAAGAAGACATAAGTAATGTATTATGTAATTATATGTAAATATTTGTTTCTGCATATGAATTTATTTATGAATGTGTCAAGTAATTAAATGATATATTAGTCATTGAATCATCATGTCATATGTTTATTATGATGATGATGTTCACATTATCATAGTTTGATGCCTCTACCATGCTTCCAGGTTTTGCTTACTCTCTGATGCAAACTTGTTACACTCTCATATTAAATTGTTCACGCTAACAAGCCTCAGTTCTATAATTAACTATTTCTGTAAGACATCATACTTCCTTTTAGAATACATTTATTGATTAAAAGTTTGGTTGCATATTGTTTGGTTGCATATTAGCACAAGAATGCCATTCCTCATAGTTCCTTCCAGCAAAAAACTGTGAACTATATACAGGCATAGAAATATATGTACTTATTATTTATACATATATACTTATGCTTCATAGGCATAAAATCTGTTTTTACACTTATATTTTTGTGTACATGTACATAGTTGTGTTTATATCTAGCTTTCATATTGATCTATGACTACACAGTCCTAAAAGTCTAAACTTTTCTTTGACATTTACTTATCATTTTGTGTGTCACAGTTGGGAAGATTATGTACATGCTGTGCCTTGGAAAGCCTGTGGTTCATATAGTTTAATTTGTTCCTTTAGTGTTACTTTTCTATCGTATAGGTCCAAGGATCAAATGTTTGTAGCCAAGTTAGACCTCAAGTGCCTTTGAGCCATCCTGCTTATTCAAGTGTGAACTTAATAGGTTTAAAATATTTGTTCTTAAATGGAACACTGAAAACACAATAAAAGTTTCACAGAACTGTAGTTTTCAGTTATTTTCTTCACATTGTAGGTCTTTTGAGACAAGGCATAACAAGCAAAAACAGTGTCCCCATACTGCTGGAGACAGCTGACTAAGGTCATGAAGATGAGGCTTGGCTTCTGTTTCTGCCCAAAAGGGAAGGTGAGGGCAGGGAGAATTACTTGGGTATCTCTTGATAGTCACTTGCTCAACTTTAAAGTTAATGAAAACCAAAAGGTTTAGCATCTGGAGGTAGAAATAGGACTCTCAGCCCTCAGGAGAGTGTTCTAGATTACACCCCCCTAGTTATCAGCTACAACAGTAAGACACAGAAGATGAAGAGCATTTAGGATGTATAGAGTCATCTATATCAGTTTCTGGGCTAGGAGTGTTGGGTTGATTTTTGGAACCCACATGAAGAAGCTGATAAAAAGTAGTAGGTGCTACTGTATGCCCTAGGATCCCTGCCTCTGTGAAGATGTTTTGACCAGCCTGAACTGCCCTTTGGTGAGAAACCAACTTGTACAGGTTCATGACCCTCTATCAACAGTATGTATTGTATTCCAGATGAAGGAGGAAATATAATGGTCCAAGCTTTGCTTCCAAGCTGTGGTCAAATGTGAAGGGCACAAGTTTCAGACCTCAGTGGAATCTATGACTTCCTAGTTTCTGCTTACCTAATCTCCACCCTTTCCCAGAGCTGCTAATCTTGATTGTGGTTCTTGACAAATACCCCATACCTATGGTTGACTTCCAAAAACAAACAAACAAACAAAAAAAAAAGGTTGTCCAGCACTTAACTGACAGTGAATAACCTGTCACTCTC